ATCTTTGTATTCTTAATAATATAATTCAAGAAACAATACCTCAGAATCGCTTGGATATTGAGCTGGTTTAGGCAGAAATTTTGGTACAAATGAAGAATCTGACTGTTTATAAGTTCCCCTGCATCTATCATGTCCTGAAGTATAACAAGCTGAATACAACAGAGTTAAGGATAATTCAGCTAATTTAGATTTGAGGGACAAGACCTGGATTCTTTCATGAACAAGTCTTTTTATGCTAAATCTAATTTAGCTTCCAATGTCTTAATCTCAGATTGAAGCAATTCTCTAATGGGTCACAAGAAAAGGACAGGGTACAGGTAATCGTGGCTAATGCCTGTCCCCTGTCCTTTTCAATATTTGTATACGAAATTTAGAAAACAGGCATTAGCCACAATTACCTGTACCCTGTCCTTTTCTTGTGACCAATTTTTTATACACTGATCTCGAATATTGTTTAAAATCAACATTTACATTATCATTCATTATCTTCCAATTTTCTTCTTCTTTAACATCTTCATTTGTTAAATATATGCGTATGTGTCATTTTATTCAATTATAAACTGCTTTACGTTTATAATATGGCGAACATAAATCGGAGCAAAAACGATCAAACAGGACATTTTGGTTGAATTAATGTTAAAATATATGGCAAGGCGAGGATTGCAAATTTTATATATAACTATGGTATAATTTAATGATATACTTTTGGTTTCTATCTTCCAAAAAATGGATTACTTGTCATAAGAATCTCTAAACGACTTTGGTTGAGTGAAGTAAATGTACGACAAGGTTGCACGTTTTATATATTATTTTTGCATGTTGACATACTTTAGCTTTCTATCTTTATACCACTAAAAATGATTGAAAATTTTATTTCTTTATATAATTCGTGTAAGAATTATAAAATGCTCAATTAAAAAATAAACAAACAAAACTTTTTTACAACAAACATCCATGATTTCAGAATAACTAGGCTTAAATTTTGGTCTGTTGCTCCGTATATATTATTTATTGAAATAAATAGTTTTTTTTTCAAATTTACAAATACAATTGTATTAATTATAAATATTATTCTAAATTTTCTTCTCTATTACCCAGTCTACTTACTTTAACATAAGAATCGGTGCCAAAACCATCCATTGTAACCAATTCCAATCCGCCATCCCAATACTCTGCATAAACTTTACTCATCGGCAGTCCAATACCTAAATTTAATTTTGGCGGTATGATTAAACTTTCATATTCATCAACCTTCCCTGCCAATTTTGGAACTTTTTGAAAATTTGAAAATTTATTTGATTTGTCAACATCAGGAACAGTGGTGGTGTTGTTGTTATTGTTGCGATCGCTAACTTCATCGCTGTCAACAGTACTGTTCATACTATCGTTACTGCTGCTGCTACTTTTTTTACGTGAGAATGACCAAATATTTAAATATAAATCATCTGATATCCCACCACCTTGATCTGATACGCGAAAATAAACATCCGTAGGATTAGAACATACTGTAACCTTTATTGGTGGATATGAAGTTAAAGATGATGGTTTATCTGTTGCCGAAGAAGTGTTTTTATGACTCTCTATTACGCCTCTAATAGAATTCTTTAATAATTCATAAAGTATATACTCTATATGATCAGGTATATAAGTGAATGTTATCTCCTCACCATTATCATCAATCACAATGTCTGGCGGTTCCACACCATATGCCTTTCTGCATAAATTTCTAGTCATTTTAGCACATCTTTCCACAATATCTCTGGGGTTACATCTTGTTGAAACAATCCCAATGTTTCCATCGTAATTCTCTTGTCCATAACTATAATTTGGATCATGCCAATTTTCTGTCAAGGCAATTTGTTGTTCAGCTAAAACTCTTCTTGATATACGAGATCTTAACATCGTATTCATAAACTTGTCCAACTTATCAACTGGCAAGTGGTCCGAACACTCATTTATACCCATTGCCAATTTCGGTATTACGACCAAATGTTCCTTCAACAATCCTTTGATCGTTTCACACCATTCAATATTATCATCCATTGTTCTAATGGTCGGTATCTTTCTCAATTTCTCAAACGCTGACCAATACAAATCATACACCTCTGCAATGTGTGGGTTGGTACCAACTATAAATGGTAATCGTTGAAAATCTCTTATTCTGTAAGCCAATCTAACCGGTAATTCTGTACGTACATAATTGCCACTTTTTAACAATCTTTCTTCTGTTAAATTACGCCCAAAAACCACCAATTGTCGCATAGTGATAGTTTTTAAAGGCTGTGAAACATATTGATCTATTATACGATTATGATAAAAATGTTGTGGTGAATATTTTCTTGTTTGTGGTCTTAATGATAGTGTTTGTCTTGATGATGGTGAACTGATAAAATTATTATCACTGTTATTATTATTAAAACTGTAATTGAATGATTGGAGAGCTTTTTTTGCCCTTGATGATATAGTTTGTGACGTTGAAATTGACGATAGAGGTGATAAAGATGACTGTGGTATTAGTTTGTTGTTGTTATCGGGTGAAATTGGTAGGATTGTTCTAATATTAGAATGTAGAGAAATAAATTCTATCGAACCATATTTTTTTTTGTTTATTGATGCTGATGATGATATTTTACGATAAGTATTGTTTATTATGACTTTATTTGATGTTATTGTTGATAAAGTTTTCATACTTTGAATAAGTGAATAAGAAGAATGTTGTGTATTGGTAAATTGAAAAAAAAATAAATTTTCTGAATTGCAGATCAGATTTTCAAGATTTTTTGAAATGGAACTTTAATTTATGTATCACGAACGGTGTGTAATTTCGTCGGGTAACTAGTACAAATTTAGAAACTATCTCCAGAAATTGATGGCAAAATGGTTAGTCTGCAATGTTATTTCTTTTAGTTTATGTACGAACCAAGCACAATCCATTCAAGATGGAACTTTTTCATTTTAACATATAGATATTCTTTAACTCTTTCAAATATATCTGCTACTTTTTAGAAAGTATATATATAAACATAAACACACTTCTTCAGGATAAATAAAATTTTGATTGTGATACTTTAAATGATGATTTGAAGTTGAAGTGAACATTGAACTAGCATATTTCGCACTACATTTAGTTCCTGCTTGAGAATTGAAATGACTTTGCAATAAATGTTGTCATCAAAGTAATCCCAGACTTTTGATTTTTTTGAATATTTTCTTTTGATTTGCACCAACACTTAGATTTCTTAACATTCTAAATTTGGATTTCACCTATTGTTCACGGAATTTTCATAATTTTGCATTTAGTTCTTCAAATAACATGGACCCCAACAAAATCTTGATAAAATTCATTTTCTATGCCAATTAATATTACTGTTACGCGTGTATTTAATTTTTTAACCAATTAACTGGTTAATTTTAACTTGTTAACTGAACTAATTAACCGATTAAAAACGGTTAAACGGTTATCTCTATGTAATGGTAAAACTTGGGATTTAAGCTTCGAAATCAACATGATGATAAAACACTTGTTTCATGTGGTGGAATGAAATTTACCCAAAAAATCAAAATGACAGAATCAAAATTATATTTAAAACTAATGCAATTATCATTGTTTGGAACAATTGGATATGAGAGTCTAAAGCTGTCCAACATTAATATTAGGGAAATCATGTAAATTGTTACCAGTTATGTTCTATTGTATTGCAGAAAATTTCATTATGCTAGTATTTCTAGTTACAAATTCGAGTGTTGTGCTTTATGCTACTTCAGAGAAAAAAAATTTAATAGCACCACCATCAATCATTACATGGTATAATGTTATCATTAATTTCAACAATATAAAAAATGTCAGGTCAACAAATAATATTCTATATGAATTTTTTTTAATGGGGTTCTAATGTCAATCATATTCCAAAAGTGTTGTATGATAGATATGTAAAGCATTAGGTCAATGTTTATATTTTTTACATTGAGAGATTTTGGATCTTTATTTCTGGGTGACTAACTGTTACAAAAAAAATTTCACAATCATATTATCAATATTTTAGTTTAATCATAAATTAAGTTTAGGACAATGGTTATCTGTTGTATTGGTATTTATAGGTATTGGTTTAGAAGCATCTATAAAACAATATAATCAAAATTAAAATGAACAAATGGATAGGGTGATAAACAGCTTGTTGTTAATGATGATGAAAGTGAAAAGAAATTGAAAAGGAATGGAATCTAATTAATATAAGAAAAGGTTGTTTATCAGAATAAATAAAGATGATTAGGATATGGATTATCATTAGTAATATCGAAACTGGGCCATTAGATTTATTGATTTATTTATTTTGTCTGGAATTTAAATACATTATCTGCCTATTATTTATAACTACAACCAAACAATTCAATCATAGACCAGGCATAAATGTAATTAGTGTAAGAAAGAAATCAGTATGATGGTCTTTTGCCTTTTTGTTGTAGATTATAATACTTATTTCACAATGATTGTCTTTTTATTTACCATATGTTTTTTATCCTTTGATTTATTTACTTGTATTAGAAATTTACATAAATATAAAAAAATGATGATAATAATACAATTAAAAAAAATTACAAAGTTATCAAAATCTAAAAAAAATTAAAAAATTGTTTTTTTCCTCCTTTCTGACAATATATTTTAAATAATTGATTTTTTTCTTCCGGTTTTTTGATCAATTATCAAAAATATCATGCTATATTATTGTACATAACAAGGAATTATTGAGGTTTTCTAAATAATACAAAAAACATTGGAGAAAAAATTCCAAGTTCTCCTCCTCTAACCAAAGCAGTAGCTGTATTATTAAGAAAGAGAGAAACATCGGTTGATCCTGGTGGTGCAATATGTAAAGATTCAAGAATATAAACAAATTTATGAGTAGTCCTAAAAAAAATTTTTTACAAAATAATTAAATCAAAAAAATTCTTTTTAATTATCATTTAAATAAATATAAACATATATAATTAATTAATCAAGTATATAATACCATCTTCCTATACGAGTCATTCTAAAACCATTCAATGAAAAATTTCCTTTCAAAGTATTATACCATGGTTCATGAAGATCATCTAAAACAGCCATATCCTCATATTCAAGGATTTCAAAACCAACATTTTTTGCAGCTTCAAGTGCTTTTTTATAAGGACCTAAAGCTGGAACAGAATTACCTTCCTATTTACAATCAAATTAATTATTATTATAATAATATTAAACAATTCATTTCATTTCATTGATTAACACGCACCTCAATCCCATGAATAATTTGCTTATGTTCAGGATTATTTTCATCATATTTATCAGTGATAACCCATTCATAGCTGGCAAAAAGACCACCAGGTTTCAATGCACGAAATACTTCACCATAAACCATTTCAAGTTTTGGTGCATGTACAGTTGCTTCGACTGCATAGGCTGAATCAAATTTGTTATCTAACTCGCGTGGAATATTTGTAAAGTCACACTTAAAATACAAAAATATAATTAGTATTATAGTAGATTATTAATGATATTAATAATTAACATCAATTTTTAAAATTTTCTTTTTATTACTTTGATAAAATCAGTTAATTTCTCCAAATCAAGTTTCTTGGAATATGCTTTACATCTTTCAATTTGATATCCATTATTGTTGATTCCAGTAACATGTGAACCAGATAACCTAACAATTTCACGAAGAGGACCACCAACTCCACATCCCACATCCTAATTACATCATTAAATTTGATAATTAATTATATTTGTAATAACAATGATAGTAAATGCGATTCAGAGGGTTTGAAAATAAAGTATAATCAAAAAAAAAACAAGTTACACATGTATTTTCTTACAATAGCTTTATGTTTTGGAGTCAATCCAAGTTTTAAAGATAGGAATTGTTCATGACGTTTAATGGATTGTTCAAAAGTATCACCCTTATATGCACGTGCAAAATGAAAAGATTCACCCCATCCTTCAATTATTCGAAGACATTGATTGATTGATTGATTGATTGATTGATTGATTGATTGATTAATTAATTAATTAACTATTGAATATAATAATAAATAAAAATGGGCCATGACACGCGTCATCATATTAATAGTGCTTTTGGTACTTGCCATATTCATAAAAATCAGTTACAATGTCATAAAACGCGTTTGTCATAGTTTGTGCATTATCACGTCTTTTTGAAACAGTTTCCACTTTATTAGACAAATCATTTTTATCCTCCTTCCACATATCAATGTAAGTATTGACAGTACGCCTGTTGAGTTGGCTATCTTTTCTGTAGATCTTGTTAACAAAGCCATTAGGTTCATAGATAATTTCTCCGTGATGTTTCTTAATAACATCAAGTTCCGGATTAGTATTAGGATCAATATTGTTAATATCTGTTGTAACTGGAGGTGTCATATTGTTTGTTATAATAAATTATTGAAATATATATATAATATATATGGTGTATATAATTTTCAAGAAAAAAATTTTTTTTTAAAAAAAGATCAAATTTTGGGGGCCATTTTAAAGGTTTTCAGGGGTCAAACTAAACAAAGATAGTTAATATTAATATTAATATTAATATTAATATTAAAAAAAGAATTTCATAGAAATAATGGTGGTAGCTCTTATCTTAAGGCGAAAAGGATTTTTTCTGTGAACCCAAAAAAAGTAAAGGTCGTTTTATATATGATGTGAGAGCCCTACAATCACAACCTTTTATCACCTTCCTAAAAAGTATAAAACTCAGGAACTTGTGATTTAGTTTTAACAATCTTTCTATTAAATGAAGGTTCAAAGGTAAAGCAACAAACCAATAGAGCCCTTTTCCAAAAAAATTATTGGATCATAAGTTCTATTCACATAAAATCAAATTTGACACCTAGTTTTTTTTGGCTGAAATTACGAAATTATTACGCATGTAAGCTTGATAAGTTGGACGCAAAATTCAATTGTTTAAAGTACTTTATAATATAAATAAATAAAATGACAGACTTACCGAGTTTACATTCAGGACTGGAAATAGTGTTTTAAAAATCCCGGATTTTCCTTTAAAAATTTTCAACTTTCGGAAAAAAAACGTTGCCAGATATTAATATTTTTTTTTTTGTACAGATTTTCCATCCGCATATATGGGGCATGCTGCAACAAAATCAGACAAAGTGAACATTTGTATTACCAAAAATTTCAGGGATCAATATTATATAACATCTTTATCTTTATACTTATAAAAAAAGATTATTTGCTTTTAAAATAGATTTTTAATTATGCTGTGCCAATCCTTTACCTTAGGATTCCATCAGATATATAAATTTTATGGTTTTTATAATACATATCTTAATACCAAAGTATGTTTGGCAATTTTGAATAACAAATATTATACAGTTAATTGAAAAAAAAAGATTTTTTTGCTAATAAAGTTTTAAACATAAAAAATTTTGCAAATAAAAATAACAAATTTTTAAAAAAATACACAAGAAAAGGTTATCACCAATGAGAGTATATAGGTGAGAAAAAAACTTAAATCATCTAATATTGATTATCTTATGATCTTATTGTTTTAATTCTTGGATCATCATCAATTTCTTTTAGAATTAATTCTTTTTTATGTGTTTCTTTTATTTTTTTGATTTGCAACTCAAACTCACACCATTGTTCTTCATTATGCCTTTTATTACTTTTATCAGAAGGTTGCTTACTAATTTCAAATCGGTCATCCAAAATTTTGATTTCTTTGTGGTCATGACAATTATCACAACAATTATCACATTTTGACAAGCTGAATTCATCTCCAAAATACCTCAATATTTGTTTTTTACGACATTCTTCAATGTTTTCACAATAGTTTTTCATTGCAAGCAAATTTGAAATTTTTCGATCTTTTTGACTTGTATCTTCATTCATAATATTTTTTTTTCTTGAGTTATAATCACTAGATGAATAAAAAAGAGTGCATGTAGCATGTTTTCTATCCCTTCCGCCCTTCCTGTTTCTTGATAATAGTTTTCAATGGATTGTGGCAAAAAAAAATGAATGACAAAACACACATTTGGTTTATCAATTCCTTTAAATAAAAATTACCAAATGCAAAAAAAAATTAATGTGATTGATATTAATAAATTTTATAAACTCATAAATATTTATTTACCCATTCCAAAGGCAGTTGTTGCAACAACAACATGTATGATTCCAGATTGCCACTCTTTTTGGATATTTATTCTGTCTTTTTTTCTTAAATCTGCATGATAATGCTTAGCGGAAATTCCATGAATTTTTAAGTGTCCTGCAATTATTTCACAATTTTTTTTAGTCCAACAATATATTATACCACATTCACCTTCATAACTACGAACTAATTCTAAAAGGTTTCCCAGTGATTCCTCGTTATTGCTGCCTTTGGAACGGATTTCATAATAAAGATTCTTGCGATTAAATCCCTGTTGTAGAACTTTACATCCTTCAATTCCTAAAGTTTCCATTATCTCAGTTTTTACTTGATGAGTTGCAGTGGCAGTTAGTTGCTATTTTAATTAATAGAGTAGTGGCAGTGATTGCATTCGACCACCATCTTTAAAATCACCATCATTCTTTTTAAATAACTAGAGTGACGATGGGTGGCGGGCAATAACCACCACCACCATCCTTAAAACACTTACTCGCCAGCAACACCAGAATCATCTTGTTTGTTTCTTTTTTTATCAATGATGTTATTACATGGCATGATAAATTTTTTAAAAAATAAAAGTTTAATTTGATCGACGTGTATAGTGATCACAATCATCATATTCATGAATATTCATTAAGGGGGTTACACTTATCAAAATCAAGTGATTGACACATAATTTTAAGGGATTTTTGGATTTTTGATAAGTGTAACCCCCTTAATGAATATTCATGAATATGATGATTGTGACACTAGCATATAGTCTATTAATTTAGTGTTAGGGTCAATCTGTGGGTCAAATTATTATATATATACATCAAAAAGTTTTGTTAGGTTTAATGGGGTCAAATCTATTAGTAGTCAACAATTTATTAGGGAACCAAAAATTCTGTGTAACAAAGTTTTTTTCAAAGGAAAATATTATATATTTAAAAAAAGCCATTAAAATATTATAATCAGTTGATCATAGTGTTCCTAGGTTCAGTTCAAGTTCAATTGACCCTGAACTTGAACTGAACCTGACTGATCTTGAACAAATAATGATTGAACTTGAACCAAACTTGAATTGTATCCATAAGCTCAGTTCAAGTTCAGTTCAAAGTAGTGTTCCATGTTGCAATCCAAAAAAGGAAACAAAATGGTTGTAAAGGTGGTTGCAATCATTTTTATATGATGCAAAGATGGTAGCAACCATCATCAAAAGTTGCAGCCAGTATCCTTAGTTCAAAGTCATGAACAAGTTCAAGTTCAATCACATGATATTGCATGATAAAGTTTTGTAACTAGTGTAATTGCATGCCACTACTGAATAACATTAAAGCTTCAATGAATACTTGTTTGAAAAATATAGACAATATTTGATAGTTATTAGCCAGTTCTATAATCTAATCATCAAGTTAATTTTAAAAATAACTTCAGTTTTAAAATTTCAAGTAACTTTCTCTATGAAAAATTCTTGCAGAAAAGCTGTACTAGCACTTTTTCTGTCTTCCATGTTTGTTGCACAAAAATGTATAGTACAAGAGCAATTTTCTGTGCATAAACATATGGGAAAAGTACTGAAAACATGCTGATAATCATACAAAAGCAAATTTGTCACGTGATTGGACTTGAACTGAATCCAAACTCAACTAAAAGTTTAATTTGAATTTCCAAATTTGTACTACATATGTAAACTTGATAGGTTGGTCACTTGATAAGTCGGCCAAAATTTTCACCCCATTATCTTAATATTTAAGTGATTTAATTCAATAAGTCAGTTTACTTGATAAGTTGGCCATATGAGCTCACCCCCACATGACTGACTTATTGAGTTTACATATGTAGTTGTTAAAGTTTATAAATTTCAAATCCATCCACATATAAAAATAGATAATAACTTTAATAATCAAAATTGATAGCCACCATTGTAAATAATAAATATATAATGGATTTAAAAAACATTTATTTGGAGTTTCTTATGTTTACATTTCCATACTGAACTACTATTAAGTAATCATAACAAAGGCCTAGATAAAAAGTATACAAATTAAAGTAAACATTGTTATTAACAATTCTAGAATACACTTAGTAATGAGATTTGTGCAAATTCTGGTTTATCATCAACATGATGTCAATGGATATTCATGCAATATATACAAACATGGGGTTTCTAGGAATATGTGGTCAGGGATCTCTCCGACCAAAATTAAGTTTTTTGTAGGGACCATCCATTGCTCAAGAAAATTTATTATTATTATGTTCCTAACCAACCACATTTTGTTAGAAATCATTCCACATGACATGTGATCTGATGTTTATTATTAATAACTGTAAGAATTAAAAATTAGTATGTGTACTTGCATGGATTCTATATTCGATTAAAAAAAAATTTTTCACTGAAAAGTATTACGTTAACTCATATGAATTGATCGACAAAGACGTTCCAAATTTTTCTATATACAGTCAAACCTTGTTTCAATGAACAACGAATTTTTGGTAAGATTTTTTTGATATAGTTACTAATCGTGTTACAACGAAATCACATGATAAATGATCAATAAAAATGCGCTAAAATCATGCGATTAAAAGAATCATACAATTTATCATTGTGATAAAACATTGAAAGATTGCATAATTACTTTCCATGTTTTATATATAATTGTAATAAAATATATATATGATTTAAAATTGTAATAAAATTATATGATTATTTTCCACGATTTAGAAATCATAATAAAACATGATTATTCCTACAGTTTAAAACTGTAATAAAATGTATGATTGTTTTTGTGATTTAAATATTTTTATGAAATTCTAAAAGGTATAAATACAAGTCTTGTTGTTTGGATGGTTATGTATTAAAAAAAAAACCAAAGTCACAACCATTGTCATCTAAAAAATGAAACTTTATTACAGCTGAACAAAAAAGAGAAACTTGCTTATTAAAAAGAAATAACCTCGACCAAAAATGTTGAATTAGCAGCACAATATGGGTTAAACTAGGCCATACATTTGTTATCATCATATTTATGTTATTACATTATTATATTTATCATTTTTTTATTTTTTTTGTAATAAAGAACAATCTTTTGTTACAACGAATTTAGGTTGTCAGTCCCACATTCGTTATGATAAGGTTAGACTGTATATCCAAATACTGGATTGTATCAGGGATGAAAACACATAAATGCAACGGATTTCCTTTATTGATAAGTTTGCATTTTTCTGGACACTCAGAAAACTGTCACACGAAATTTACTTGGTTTCATTATAATAAAATTTGGAATTTTCAAAATGTTAATATTAAGGCTCAATTTTTAGTTTAAGAAAATCTAGTCGATAAGTTTTGAAGCTTGAGTCATGAACAATAAAACTTATCGGTTAACTTTTTTAAAATGATATAAAATCTTCCGTTTTGGTATTTTGCTGACCAATTATAAGCTAGTCTGCTGCATAATGGACATCATTAGCCGGGGTCTTATCCCATGTCATTGCAAAAAATGTTAAAATTATTATTTATAGATTTTTTTAGTAAACCAATCCAAATTGTCATTATTAATTGCTCGGAGAAATTTTTCCGTCATACGAATTCCCTTATATATAGTAATAAAACAAAAGATCAAAAGATCAAAAATGAATATAAAAATATTTTGCCACAAATAAATTTGTACTTTTCCAAAACTAAAAAAAATGAAGATTTGTGCAAATTGTCATAAAAAAGAAGTGTATATTGATCCCAATACAGGGAAAGTTAGTGACTACTGTGGAAACTATTGTAGGAAAAATGGTAAGTTTTATTTAGTTAGAATTGTTTAAAGATATGCTAAAATAAAATTTACGATGATAGCGATTCATGAATTTAAAATAAAAAGGAGTAACAAAACTAATTATTGAATAAACCATATATATATATATATATATATATATATATATATTATTTACATATACTCAATTTATTGTGGCACGACTTGTATAAACGAAGCTAGGAACCTAAACCCGATTTCTCAACCAAATCCTTCTTCTCTACCTGTCCTACCCAATTTTCAAGTACCAATATCACCACAACCGCAACCATCACCATTCTTACAACCACAACATGTGCAACTGCTACTACAACAACAGCAACAGCAACAGCTACAGCAGCAGCAGCAGCAGCAGCTACAGCTACAGCAACAGCAACGGCTACAGCAACAGCAGCAGCAACAGCAACAGCAACAACTACAGCAACAGCTACAGCAACGGCTACAGCAACAGCAACAGCTACAGCAACAGCTACAGCAACAGCAACAGCTACCAATATTATCACAACAACAAACTTTACAACAACTATCCCAAACAAATAGTCAATTGCAAATGCAATTGGCTGCATCTGGGATCCCTCCCGTTAATAATAATGGTGGTGGTAAATGGGTTCCCATGAAAATTCAATTAAAAAAACCTGTGTGTAAAATATGTAATAAAAATGATTGTTGGTATGATCCTAAAACAAGTACATTTTCTCCATATTGTTCAAATAGTTGTAAGGCAAAAGGTACGTTTATTATGAGTTTTTGAATATATATATATATATATATATATATATATGTATGTATGTATGTATATATCAATCAATTTCTTACTAACATATATTCCAAATCCAATTAGCAACTTCATTTGCATCTCAATTCGGTAATAATTCTTCAATTCTATCTGATAACAATCCATCACTACAACAAATGCAGCAAACACCAAAACAGTATCATCAGACAAGCCCATTATCTCCATTAAATCCGTCACCTCCGTTAAATAACTCACAAAGTCCACAAAATAGCTTTACTCTAAGTGCTGAAGCACCTTTTGCCACTACTATGCCTTCAGGTAACCAAAGATCATATAACTCGATTAGATTAACTATACCCAATTCTTCAAATTCTCAAACTTCATTAATATCTCAAACAGATTCTAGTCAATATGAAATGCCAATATTTTCTAATCAATCACGATCTCAAACACAAGTATCACATGATTCATCATCGTCATCAACATCTACATCAGAACAAAATCCAAACGAATCAAAGCTTCGAAATCGAAATTCACAAAATAAGAATAAAAAACCATCTCAACCACAGGTAGATCAGCAGAAACAGCCACCACAAACACAACCGAATACACCAAATACGAAAAAACCTAAATCAAAGAATAAAAAACCGCCTCCTCAATCACAACCGAGTCAACAGGATCAGCAAGATCTACAAAACGAGGCAAACGAGCAACAATCACAGCAACTAGCAAACCAGCAAAACCAACAAACTAGGCCAAATAATGATAAAAATCCCCCTCAATCGCTACCAAATAAACAGAATCAGCAAAACAGGCTAAATAGAAAACAAAAACAACCAGCACAACAACAACCGTTGCCACAACCAAGTCCATCAAATCAGCAAAATTTACAAACTAAGTCAAATAATAAGAGCAAATCACCTCAATCACAACCGAATCAAAAAAAGCGGCCAAATAACAAGCAAAAACAACAACCGCAACCAATTCAACCAACCTTAGCACTTCAAACTCAGCAAAATCAACCAACAGATCCTATCCCATCACCTATTCTATCACCCCAATTTTCAACTCATACATCTAATCAACCAGTTTCACCAACTCAGTCACCAATATTTCGGCCAGAGCAAATAGCAGATGACAACGAAGAAGAGGAAGAAAAAGAAGAGGAAGAAGAAGAAGAACAATTACAAGAACAAGTACAAGCCCAAGAACAAGAACAAGTACAAGAGCAAGTACAAGTACAAGTACAAGTACAAGCCCAAGTACAAGCACAAGCCCAAGTACAAGAACAAGTCCAAGTCCAAGTCCAAGCCCAAGAACAAATACAAGTCCAGGCCCAAGAACAAATACAAGGAGGAAGAAACATTGTAAATTTAGAAATCTTAACTGATGAATCTCGAATGTATTTAAATGAACATGAAGAGCCGCCACCACCATATGATGAAGTTGCTGGTGACTATAATTACTCTGATGTCAAGATAACTCGTGATGATTCTTATAATGACGATGAGGACCCATATAAAGCCAGACGAGCTCGCAGAAATAATTAAAAAATAATAATGATGATATTGTGTATTTCTGATATAAAGAAAATTCTCTATTAATTTATTAATTTACTTATTTATTATTTATTATTTATTATTATTTATTAGTTTATTTATTATTAATTATTTAATTTATTTTTGTTCAATAATGTAAGCTTTTGGTGTCAATTTTAATAAAAAATATAAAATAAAATTTTTTTTACATTATTTAAAGGCATATGATATATATATATATATATAAATTTGATTATACTAATTACTATAAAATCATTATAATAAACAAACAATATAAATAACAACAATAATTGTTGCTGATTAAACCAATCGTTTTTATACAATCCTTGTTTTGAATTGACGTAATAATTCAACCGACTACTTAAGTATTCTTTACTTTCTCTGTTGTATATCTTTTTCTTATCTTTGTTAGAAATATTTTTTTTATCTTCACGACTCATCTCTCCCATTTATTTTCTATAGGTTCGTCAATTTATATTCGGTAATTATTGCTGAACAATTTTGTCTCCAATCATTTTTAACTGATCTAGCAAAATTTTCAAAAGCTGTCAACTTAGCTTAAGACTGCTTTTTTAATGTTTGGTTTGGAAGTTTTATTAGACATGAGGTTTACCAATGACTGTTGAAAGAGGTCATAATCAGCTTAGAGTCTTGTTGTGTTATACACAGATATCAAAAGAAACTCTTACCACCCATTTAATTATCGCCTCGTAAAGACAAACTCTTCGATTTCATAAAAATCCCGAGAACAATTGCATTTTCAATTTCAACAAGGTAATAACAACATCTTATTCATAATATTCTGATTTTAGTTATCATCTTCAATTGAGCATGACTGTATAAAAAAGGCACCTACCAGCAAATTGAAGTGCATATAGATGTATCTCAAGTTTAAAACTAGCCCCACCAAAGGTTTGAAATTCTGGTATTATTACCTTTCGTTTTTCATTTATGATAAGAAAAAACTTCTTTTTTCAAATTTTTTTGCAACCTTCACATGGTTATCTATTTCTTTCTCTTCTTTGGACGACTCCCTTCGATATATACCATTTGATACTTGTTGGTATCATTTGTGAAGTCAATCCTATCACTTTTTTGTTTATTGATATGGCGAATCGAAGTTACTTCACCATTAACAAGATTTGATAATAATAATAATTAGCTCTTCAAAATGAATAATATAACGAGTTGCCGTACACACAAAGAGTAGATTTATTTACAATGTGTAATAAATTACAGCGCAGTACTTCAATGAAAGCTTTCAGACCATGGATGTACAAAATCATTTAAATGACACTGTTCTAGGATCTGTCTGAATTGTTTCTAATTGCTATGCCTAGTAAGCAGTATTGCAACAAGATCTGTGGAAACCTAATAGGCCATTCAGCAGGTTAGCTATTAGCTTCTTCCTACCTATCCAAAAGACGATTACTGTTCCCTTACCGCTGGCACAAGACCAGTAGCCCACAACAACCTAATAGGCCGTAAAAAGGTAACCTAATAGGTATACCTTCATAGCTGCAGCTGGATGACATCAATTGTTCTTGATAAATACTACAGAATAGTTCATCCGTTTTCATAACTTTGACAGGATTGTATGAATTATTGATAATGGTACACAAGGACCAGTTATTTCAAACAACATAAAGGTCCTCCTTGCTGTCCTTATCAACCTATTTCCCCTATTTTGTCCTTCGTTACGAATCAACTTCTTCTTGTTAATTGAAGGACTCTCTTGTATAAGTTCTCCGAATATGTGATAATACTCAAAAGCAAAACTATACTTTCGAGCTTTTTTACAATGGTCCTGAGCTTCCGGCCCATCTCTCCATCATCCTCTAAATTCCTCTAAATGTTCTTCAACTAAATTCTGTTGTCACCTTGGTGATGTTATTAGTCCCGCTCTTTAATTTTACTCTTTGCATTGATAATATAGATATCTGATTCTTTTAATTGTGTATCCATGCATCTTTCCTGATATGACTTTAACCGGCTTGTATTTGTAAAACTTGTGGATAATGAAGCATGTTTTATCTATATCTTTGAAATATGTGACCATTAATCAGTTTTAAATAAAATAAAAACTGCAAGTAAAATCGTGAATAAACCTTTAAAAATAAATGTTGTTTTTATTTTAGTCTTAGTTTTAAAAGCAAGCACTTTCGTAAGAAGCCACTTTTTATTTGTTTTGACTACGTAGTAAGTAAAGTTGGGACTAATATTGGGTAACTAGTGGGTGTTAATAAACGGTTGGTAACGTTATTTGCATTATTGAAGCATTGTCCAAAGGTTAATTGGAAATATTGGTAGTGTTATTGTAATAAGATCATTATTGTAAACGTAAGTTGTAAAACCAAAGCGAGTTCGCAATCGACAAACGACTGAAATAAATCGATAACAAGTGAATAAAGGAACTTTATGATAGGGAGCCTTTAAGCTTGTAAAAGAGCCATCATTATTTATTAACGGTACCATTAAGTGTGCTTACAGACTCGCCGGAGCCTTCTAGGTACAAGAAAGAGGCAGTAAGCGAGAACCAAAGTAGTTTAGTAAACTAATTAATTAACAAGCATCGAATTATTGTAGCCCAAAGGTTAAGTCATACTTGCAATATATATGTATTTATATTATAAGGATCATAATTGGTAAAAAAACCAGTCCCTGTTCATTTGTAAAAAAAAAAATATACAAAATATATGCGTAACATACTTTGCAGGGATTGTTTATTCCAAAAAATTTATTACAACTTAAGGTCACCTTTTGCCATATTATATATTATCAAATGCTACAGAAATAAATTGCCTCACTAAAAGTTAACAATACAATTTTCTAAACATATTTATATCTATTTCGCCTATTATTCCATCAGTTATCAATATCATTGATTTAAGAGTCATAATTGGACCCCAATCAACCTTGAGAACATACTGGTTTAAATCCAGGAAGATAGTTTTTGTGATTTTTCTAATTTTTACCTTCATATTATTATTTGTTCACATTATCCTGTTCTTCGTCAGGAATATATGCATAATCTTATGATTAACGATATGAAATTGGACGGGTTTGAATTCTTGATCACTTTTTCGATTTTCTTTTCGTAAATCAATTTGTTTATAATTTTCCGTAATCCATAAAATTACTATTACTATTACTATTACTATTACTATTTTACAGTACCATGATTATCGAAATAATTTTCTCTTCAAATGGCCAACGTTTTTATCAAAAGTACCCTTTATTTTGATATTATTGACCTGACAATTAACTAACTAAATCATTGGTTTAGTTTAAATCAATTTAAATCTTATTTGTTCTAATATAATTTTTCTCTTAAAAATATAAATTTTCTTAATCACAATAATGTCAATGTAGATATAAATAGTTCATAAAATTCAAAAAACATGATGGTAATCAAAAAATGCAGTTTGGTAAAATTTTGAATGTTATCCTCCAAAACATCCGGGGCATTTTGGAGCCAAATGCAAAAAATATAATTGTGAATTTGTTAATAAACTGCAAGTCCATTTGGCACATGAATGTGAATATATCAAAAAAGATATACGTATATTATTGCAGAAAGAGATGGCGTAAGTGAATCTTTAGAAAATGCAACATATAAAGCAAATACACAATTTCTTGCTAATTTTTGGGATAAAGATGAAATATTATTAAAAGAATGTGCAGGAATTATATATCATTCAATTTTAAAGGCTTTTGTGACTTGTGGTATCCATAAGTATTTGCAATTCCTGAAACTTTCATTTTCACTTCTACCAATAATGTTAAAATTATTGTTTTTAAAAAATTTATTAATAGTTTTTTGGTTGTTTTTTTTTATAATAAGTAAAAATAAAAAATAAAGATTAAGAATATTTGTTTGGTTTGGGATTTTTAAATTCATGAGTTTCTAATTCCCATTATGATAACCTTTCAAACTATCTTTTCGTTACCTACCAGAACTTGCAAGATGTAAACTATCTAAATAAATGATCTTTCGCTACTTTGTATTCTTCCTGGTCAAAGCAGGCGCTCTGTGAAGCTCATTTGGACAAAGAAACAGAAAATTTGTGTACAACTCAGGGTGTTATAGGGATGACTAGATGTGCGTTAAACCCCAGAAATTTCTTATTATTATGTGGGACCTCTATTTTGTACCAATGTTAATTTAGAAAGATCTTTTACGTGTTTTCCAATTCCCACATAAAACATGCTAATATTAATATAGAATATTTTTACGCGTCAACTGGCGTTGTTTGACAGATAATATTAACATAACTAACCGTTATGACAACAAATAAAAAAGAGTTTTTTACAAGACGTTAATATATAAAATCTCGGAAAAAAATTTTTCACACAAAAAGTTAATTTATATTTTTAAATATACATACATTTCCAACAATTTTAATATAATGGAGAATAATTTTTTTATTTTTCAAACCTTTGAAAACACTTTGGACACTCCAGTTTTTGGTTATTTACTTCATGACTATGAAATAAGGCTCTCACTTTTACAAGAAAATCCTAACATGACCATCGGTGAATTATCAATAATCTTACTTCGAAATTGGAATGAAATGAACCAGGTTTCCACTCTTTTCTAACAAAAAAAAAATATATTAGATTGTCATCAAATTTATTATAATAACTAATAATGTTTCTTTAGGATAAAAAAATCGAGTATGATGAACGCGCAAAAGAGTTAAATTGGAAGTTACTTAGTGAGGTTAGTAAAATGATGTGAAATGTGTGATCTTATTCATTTGGATATATCTTAATTAGTTGCTACATTTTAAATAGAATGAAAAAGATTCGTATATTTGTCAAGCCAAAGAATTTTCTATTAACATCGATACAACTGACACTGATATTATAAATGATATTAATATAACTGAAGCTAATAATCTAACTGGAACAAGTAATCTAACTGATACTGATAATATAAATGGCACTATCAATATAAATGATATCAATATAAACGATCTTATCAATATCAATGATGTTAATAATATCACTAGTAATATAAATGATATTGCTAATATTGATGACATTATTAATGCTAGTGATGACACTAGTAATATTATCAATGACACTAGTAATAACACCAATGATACCAGTAATATCATAATTCAATTCAATTATTATTAGAAGTTTCTTCTGGATTTAACAAATCATTTATTTGTAAACTGCAAATATCAAAATAAATAATTTTTTATTTTATACAAAGAAAGAAGCCATCGGAGGAATTGATATTTATAAAGCCTCTTGATCTTGATCTACTTCTACCAAATCCATATTTAAATACACATTTTTATATGATTATAATCATTAAAAAAAAATTTTTACATTAAACTATTTCTATTTTTTTTCTTCATGACCACGTGAATCTACTGCTCCCAGAACCATTAGGTGGTAATGACCAAGACGAAGAGGAAGGAGGTCATATGCAATAGTCAGAAATGGCTCCTGCGTATATCGAAGACGATTAAATTATCATTCACGGATTGCCGATTATTCCTATAATAATAATGGAATTTTGCTAAAATTTATTAATATAAAGGATTAGTTGATAGAGATATTATTACTATTACTAACATTTCATTATTATAAAAAAATATTTTACTCTATTTTTCTATATACTAATAAATTGAGAATTCTTGATTGGTCTACCAATTTGATCTGCTATATATATATAACTTAAATTTTTTTTTTTAAAAAAAACCAAAATAATGTATTCAACACGCTTTGTTTCAGGCTCTTTATTAAGAGCCTCCAATTTTATCTTTAAAAATCAAAAACCTAGAGTATTTATGAATAGGTCATTTTTTATATTAGCAATAAATTCAATTGGGGGTTGAGAAAATTTTATTTAATTATTTGTATTAAATTTTAGTTTAGGTAGAACTGTCGGATCTTTGTCACCTGAAGGAACTAAAAATGACAGGGATGATTTTAAAAGAACTGATGATGGTTTTAAAGGAACCGATGATGATTTTGAACGAATGTTAAATCGAATTAAAAGAAAAAAAAATGTAGAAATTCCTGTAAAAGAAATAATAATAGATGAAGACGATTTTAATGGATTAAAAGAACCAGGTTTTATGAAGGAAGAGGGTTGTATTGAAGTTCTTTTTAATGAACACAGACATTATGCCAAAATGCGAGAAATAGTCAAACGGGCGAAAAATCAACTTAATAAAATGAGATTTGGAGTAGCAAGTTCATGTATATAAATATATTATAAAATTTTTTCTAATTATATATTAAGCAGCAAACGGCAATAACTATCGGAAATGTTCTTTTTGTTATTCGACACAGCTATCCTTGATTCATTAACATTTGAATACAAAAGTAGAACATTATATGTAAAAGATGTTACCAAGATTACTGAAAGTCCTCCAGATACATTATTGTTATATGTATTCGATGAAGAGGTAAAAAATCAGATGAATTAATCGATTTTAAAATTTGTATTGATTTTTTCCTTCTCATTATTCATCTGTATATATGTTTGTAGAAATTAGATGCAGTGATAAAGGCCATATACAATTCCAATCTTGATGTAACACCCAGAGTCCAAAAAAATAATATTATACTTCATTTGCCAAGGCATGTTTAGAAATATGTTCATTTCTAATTTTATTATTTATTATTGTTAAAGGTAATAAGCAAGTTTTATCATGTCTTTATCTTTTTAATTAAAGAAATACATCATTATCTCCGGATCAAGTCGAGTATAACATTAAAAAATATGTGGATATTGCAAATAGAAATATTGAAGAAGAAAAACGGAATGGATTAAGAAAATTACAACAAGATCTTCAAAATGGAATTCCAGAGGATCATATAGAAGAACATCGAAAGCAAGTATGTACAAGTGTGAATTACAATAAAATTATATATATTTTTTAGAATAATAATATTGTTTTTTTGCAAATTTATTTATAGTTTCTGGCACAGGTTGAAAATTTTGAAAAAGATTTAGATAAAACACTAGAGACAAAACTTTCGGAATACAAGAGTGCTTCGTAAAGAAGGAACAATTTGATCTTTATATATCTCAAATGATTTATTAATTAATCTTTGTCTTTACTAATTATATATTACGAATTAACTCGGTAATAATTATTATTTTCTATCCTCCTGTTTATAAAAAAAAAAGGAAAAAATTTAAAATGCAATAACAATAAATTTCAAAATTCAACTTAATTGCCATGGAAAAATTCTCATACCACCAGTATTATATGATATCCATGTTGAGTTTTTATCTATAAAGTTAACAATTTATTAATGAGTGAATGAATGAAGATAAAAAAGTAACAACAACAACATTAACGATGATAGCAAATAATCAAATAACTAAGTGACATACTGGTGGATTTGTAAATACTGGATTATCTAAAAAGTGTTATTATAAAAAATTATCAGAAATCTAAAATGATAATGAACTCGAAAAACTCTCTCTGAAACTTACCCAAAGAACTTGGTTGCAAAGCAAATGCTGCTTCTTGAAATGCTCCTACCATTGAACCACGATTCATCCAACCCAAGCTTCCTATTGTTATTGTTGTTATCATTTAACAACTTCAAATTTTAGCCTATTTTGATTATTTAGAAAATCATTACTGAAAATTTATTTATGTTAACCTCCTTGTTTTGCCTTATCTTCACTATATAATTCTGCAACCTATACATAAAAATAAATAAATATGACTTGATTTCTTAACAAACAATAGGTTATATTTAATAAGACATGGCATGCCTTATCAAATCGCATTTTTTCAACTGTAAGTTTTTCTAATGCTTCCATTATCTAAACCATGCATAAAAAAAAGATTGTTTATATTTGTTTATTTCTTTTGGCTTGCATAGATTACATATAAAATTCTTAAAATATCCATCCCCTTCCTTCCTTTCTTCCTTTCTTCCTTAATTACCTTTGAATGTTTTTCACATAAAATATGCCTAACCTGTAACATAGTATAATATAAATATTTCAAAACATTAAATAAATGTTAAAAAACTTTTTTATATAAACTGAAATTTAATTTTGACCTTTATACTATTTGCAGCCTTTAATTTTGTAGATTTTCCAGATTCTTCATATAACATCATCCATCATATAATAAAATCAATTAATTAAATTTAATATCAATGTAATTTAAAACTAAAAAAATTATACCATCAGCTTCTGTATTTTTCTTTGATGTCTTTCCTTTACCACCTCCCCCACTCGTTGATTGATTTTTGGATTTACCCATTATTGATTGATGATGATAAATTTTTTTGTACCATTTTTAATATATGGGGCATGCTGCAACAAAACCAGACAAAGTGAACATTGGTGTTACCAAGGATTTCAGGGATCAAAATTTAGTCATTTGTAATGTG